CAAGTCCAGATTACCTGCTGTCAGACTCCCTCTGCTGTCAGGTCTGCTTGTGCTGTGAGTCAGTGGGTCTTTTCTTATCTGACTACAAAGATGCTCCGTGCATAAGCGTAGTAGTTAGGATATTTTTCAAGCTGATATTTATACATTTATATCTGCAATTTTATCTGAAATCATTTTTAGCAAACTCAAACAACTAACAAGAATATATGTTATCAAGTCCTCATTGATGGAGGCTTTTAGTTTCATTTACAGAAGTAATGCAACACATAGGTGCATACAACTGAAATGTTACTTTCCTCTTTTTGTGTATGTGTATATATATTTCTGCAGATATACAAGTGTTACTAAGTTTATAATGCTACAGGTTTAAATGTTAAATACCTGGTTTTAATGAAAAGTTTGTTCATTAAAGGCTTGTAGGGAAAGCTGCCTAAACTAGACGAGTTCATGAACAAATAATAACTAGATTATGTTTAAATGTGTGAGCAGGGTTATAACCACATTCAACTGAAACACCTGCATGTTGATTTTCCTCAGTTTCAAGACCATTCACATTTTCTTAAATGAACATTATTCAGGGTTTTTTTCAGTAAAGACATTTGTATCTTGCTGTGGAAGTCACATTGTTCTATGAAAACCATCTTAGTATTTTTATTGTATTAATTTATTTATGTTTAATGAACTATTTACAGTTTTGTTTAAACTTTGAACATTTCTGGAAATAAAAAAAGACTGAAAAAGGCTCAGTATTGACCTTAGATGTGCAGGTGTTATAATTTTCTCTGTGTTGGTCCTGTGCTGTCCCATAACACCAAATTAGACAGCGTGGGTGAAACATAAATGGATGCATAAAGGTTTAATTGTAGTAAAAGTCAGTCACACACTAAAACAATAACGTTATGTGGCAAAAACAATAGAATTGTTGTTTAGCCTTTTAACTAAGGGTTATTTTTTACAGCTCTGGTCCCATTTCATCCAAATTAAAGATAAATTCAATTCAACTCAGTTTATTTATACAGCACCAAATCACAACAGAAGTCATCTCAGGGCCCTGAACAGAAACATTCATATATAAAAATAAGTGCATATGATTTATCTGAGGAGCAGACTGCTTTGAATTTAGTTCCATCACAGACTCTCATCACATAAAATGTTCACAGATTTTACTGTTTTGTTTAGCCAGCTATCGTTTACCATTGAAAATAATAAGCTCAAATGATTTTGTCTTTATTCACACAATTATAGTTAAAATTTGTCATATCTTTTGCAAATAGTTACCCTCTTGGAACAAACCTAGGACAATGAGGTAAACCTTAATATGTAAGCAAAATATTAGATGTGTTTAAAAATAAGATGTGCAATTTCAGTTATTATATTATTTTAATATTGTCCTGGTGTGATATTGCTACAAAGTATTTAGTATGTCATTTATTTCATGAGTTTAATTTTCTTTTTTTATTTTGGGCAGTTGTGGCTGAGTGGTTAGAGCAGTCATCCTCCATTGCAAGAGTTGGGGGTTTGAATCCACCAGCAGTCACATGCCAATGTGTCCCTGGGCAAAAGACTGAACCCCTCATTGCCTCAGATGTGTGTCCCATCACTGTATGAATGTGATAAAGCTCTGATTATTCTTTGTAGAGATCTAGTAGAGTGCTGTATGAATGGATGAATGAGGACACAGATTGTTGTGTAAAGAGCTTTGAGTATCTTGATAAGATAGAAAAGCTCTATATAAGTACAGTCCATTTACCAGCTCTTTTTTGTTTTGCTTTAGTTTAGATAAATTATGCGAACCAATAAACTTTTACCAACAAAAAACTCAAGAAGCTGTTTCAGATGCACAATGAGTTTATTCTACTGATCACAAAGCATGCTTAGGGAGGCACCACTACGAAGAGAACGGGTGTCTCAGACAGAGAAGGTTTTGAAGAAGCTTTATTCTTCATCAAGTCCTTTCTGTAAGAAAAGAAAGAAAACTCAGAATAATTCAGTTTCAGTTCAATTCTGTTTATTTATATAGTGCCAAGTCACAACAGAGGTCATCTCGGGGCACTGTATAAGAATAAATACCAAGCTTGTAGAGAACAAGCATCTGAAATGCTGTGGAAAGAACTAATGTTTATTAGACTCTGATGTCATCAGAAGGTTGGCAGTAATGTTCACATTTTACATTTGGAGTAATATTCCAAAAACCTTAACCTAAAATATGGTTCATGGCTCCACTGCAGTCTGAGAGAGACACCTAGCGGGAGTTGTATGGAAAATATTTTTATGAATCAAATTTATTGGAAAAATGGTTGTTAATAATATATCACAATAATCATCACTATTGGTCCATGGATCATTTTTGCTTCATCAGCAATGCTTTTATTGCTACAGTTATTTTGTGGATTTGAAGCTGAATCTTTGTGAACCTCTGTTTTACACTGACACGTTTGTCTTTTATTTGTTCAGGGGTGCACATACGAACCTTGGCCCCAACATCACGATTTTTAGCACGTAGCTTGTTGACCTGAGACTCTGCGATGTCAGCTCTCTCTTCAGCTTCATCGAGCTCGTGTTGAATCTTGCGGAACTTGGTGAGATTATTGTTGGCCTGCTCCTCCTGAAATACGAATAAAAATCTAGTAAAGATTTGACATCAGAGAAAAGCATCATCCACTAAATCTCAAGTATTCCATTAACAGCTCTTTGGGAATCACCTTGTTAATGTTAAAATATTATATGTTAGCTTTGCTTGTCACCATTAAATGTGGGCAGTCATGTAAAAACCTTTGTGATTGTGTTGTATGACTGTTACCAAATACATCAGGAACCACTGGACAGATTTTAATGAAATCTGCAAAAAAGTAAACATTTTATGTAAATCTACCATTTATTAACTTTCAGAGTCAACCCAATTTAAGATGAATGACAACTTATTGATCTTAGTTAACACAAAGAAGGTTGTCACCCAATCATTTTTTAGTCATTCTAGTCATTTTAGGGGGAGTGGTGGTGCAGAGGTTAGAGAAGATGGACCTGTGATCAGAAAGTCGCAGGTTCAACTCCCAGTGCCGTCAACATCAAAATGTGGGTGGAGAAGGTTTAAACACCCACGCCTGTCTCCACCCTCATTTGCCCCACTCTGGGTCCCTGAATAGGCCCTTAATCCCCACATCTGTTCCCAAAAACAGGTCTCTCTTGAAAATGAGTTCTCGTGACTCATTGAGGCTACCTGTATAAATAAAGGGTAAATAAGTAAAAAATACAGATATTGATCTAAGCTTTGTCATGGTAGTAGCTGAGGGTATCCCTAACACATACTCTGAGTGCTAACAGATCTAGACTTTAATACCATAATAATGTAGCTATGGTCCAACAGTCTTTGCAATGGCAAGGACAATATCGTTCCTTCAAGAAATGGTCCTTTAATGTTTCAAACTGTTGAGGGTGGTTCACAAGTTTCAACATTCCTTACAAGCCTACTAACCATAGCTGGGGTGGGTGGTAGGGGGGGTGTCAGGGACAGGTGTACACTTTTCAAAATGAGAAAAGTGTTGAACGGCTTTTGATATGCCCTGTATAACCAACACGTTGCCGTTCTGCTGCATGGCACATGCACTGTATACACAACGCAGGACAACAGGCAAATTTGGTTATGCACAGTTAACAGGCTTCATCTTCATTCAGTGAAAACACACACAGGAGCTGTGCATTGCTGGTACCAGTTCAAGTCCTCACCACACTGGAGGTCCTTGCAACCAGAGCCTTTTAAGAGTAAGCTGATGTGTAGCGACTCGTTTTTTGACACCAGCTGTTTAATAAATACGCCTTTGAATTCTCCAAGCCCCTGTGTGGCACTGTGTTTACAGTAATTATGTTTTTAAACACATGCATAAAGTCACATGCAAAATGTCTCCAAAAAGAGTTTGTTTTGTACACTTGTGAAAATGTAGAAAATTGTGGACCACCCCTTATTGTCTTTTTTCATGGAAACAAATAATGTTTTGTTACAGGCTGCCTGAGAATAACATGAAAATGATCAGATCCTCAACTGAAAATAAAAAAGGACCAAAAAATTGAAACTTCAAATACACAAAGAAATTTTTAAAGCAAAGTCTGGCTCCTTGGAAACAAAATACAAACTAATGATGGTGGTCTTTTGCTCAGTGCTGAGTGGTTTAAAATGAAATCTGCTTACAGCCTCCTCTGCAGATTTCTTATACGTTTTGACTTTAAGCTGAAGCTTGTCCACTAAATCTTGAAGGCGTGCTAGATTCTTGCGGTCTTCTTCAGTCTACATCGAAAAAGATAAAGAAAGCAGAACAAGAAGGAAGACAAAATGTACAGTATTTATGTTAAATTTTTTATACTTTTAATTATCAAAGCATAAAACTATTTGAGATCTAAGCAGATTTTTACCTGATAGGTAAGTTCCTTGATACGTCTTTCATACTTTCTTACTCCTTTTATTGCATCACTGGCTTTTTTCTGTTCACTTTCCACTTCATTCTCGAGCTCCCTGACCTGCAAGGTGCCATAGAAAATTGAATGTTAAACTAATTCAGGTTCAGCTAATACAGTACTTATTTTGGCTTTTCAATGGACAAACGGCTCATATTTACCCTGGCCTCGAGCTTCTGCACCTGCTTCTTGCCTCCCTTCATGGCGATCTGCTCAGCTTCATCCAGACGGTGCTGCAGGTCTTTGATGGTTTGCTCCATGTTCTTCTTCATACGCTCCAGGTGAGCGCTGGTGTCCTGCTCTTTCTTCAGCTCCTCTGCCATCATGGCAGCATCAGTGATGGCCTTCTTGGCCTTCTCTTCAGCATTTCTGCACTCCTGCACTGCCTCCTCCACCTCAGTTTGAAGCTGGACTGCATCTGCCTCCAGTTTCTTCTTATGGTTTATCAGGCTGGTGTTCTGTTTTTATAAAATCAATTTTGCACAATTATCAGTATAAAAGTAGCAGGAAGAAATTAGCTTAAGCATAAGATGTAGGCAATGATCGTATTCTACCTGTGAGTGCAGCAGCTGCACCCTCTCGCTAACATCCAGCAGCTCTTGCTCAGCAAGTTTACGGCTTCGTTCAGTTTGCTCTAATGCACCTCTGAGTTCCTCTACCTCAGCCTGAAGCAGGTTGTTGCGTCTCTCAATAATAGCATTGTTTTCCTTCATATCATCATTGGCTCGCAGAGCTTCATCAAGCTGGAGCTGAGCATCCTTAAAAGTAAACAGAAACATGGGGTTTCTTTGTTAGTTACATACAGTATTTATCAAAACACATGTTTATTTTTTAATCTATTATCTAACCTTAAGATGTGCATGAACAGCCTTGAGTTGTTTCTGAGCCTCGGCTGCCTGCCTGTTGGCTTGGCTAAGCTGGATCTCCATCTCGTTGAGGTCTCCCTCCATCTTCTTTTTCAAACGGAGAGCTTCATTCCTGCTGCGAGTTTCAGCCTCAAGAGAGCTCTGAAGAGTGTCCACAATTCTCTGCTGGTTTCTCTTAGCTTGCTCCATTTCTTCATCTTTCTCAGACAGCTTACGCTCAAAGTCAGCCTTTATTTGGTTCAGTTCAAGCTGGACTCTGAGAATTTTCCCTTCCTCGTGCTCCAGTGAGGCCTTAAAAAAAAGTTAAAAGGATGCTAATTATCCTCAACTGCTTAAATGTGTTTATTTTTCAAAAGTAGACTTAGCAGCTCACCTCAGCTTCCTCCAGAGCTGTCTGAATCTCTGACTTTTCTTGCTCCACCTGCTTTCGAATCTTCTCAAGTTCATGAATACTCTTTCCACCCTCACCAATTTGTTCAGTCAAGTCAGCAATTTCCTCTAAATGCCAAAAATTGCAATATTTATCAATTTTACTCTACAGGAAACTTATTTATGAGATGACTGAAAGAATCGCTGACTGACCTTGTAAGTTTTTGTTCTCCCTCTTCATGGTCTCCAAATGCTCAAGAGACTCTTCGTAGGAGTTTTTAAGTTTGAAGAGCTCAGTGCTCAGAGACCGGGCTTCCTTCTGCGAGCTCTCCAACTCTGATTGAGACTCTTCGTACTTCTGTTTCCACTCTGACAGGACCTGACAGAGAAGAGAAGAGGGGACATTTCAGAGAAAGGATTTAGCTTAAATCTGTGGCAAAATTAAACATCATGCACTGATTTTGAACCTTGTCAAAGTTTCTTTGCTTCTTGTCCAGAGCAGCAGCAGCTGCATTAGACCTCTCCACATCCACCATGAGATCTTCAATCTCATTTTGCAGCCTGTGTTTGGTCTTCTCCAGAGAGGAACATTTAGCATTCACAGCTTCAACAGCCTCCTCAGCCTCCTGCAGACGCTGAGCCAGCTTCTTTCTAGAGAATAGGACAATTTATTCAGCATTAGATGTGTTTAAAGTTCACTGACTTGCTAAGGTTAAACATGGTGGACTCACTTTGCTTCTTCTAGTTCCTCGGTCCTTTGTATGGCATCAGTTTCATACTTGGTTCTCCACTGAGCCACCTCAGAGTTGGCCTTGGACATGCCTCGCTGCAGTTCAGCCTTGGCCTCCTGCTCCTCCTCATACTGCTCTCTGAGGAGATCACAGTCGTGGCGAGCAGACTGCACAGCGTGGGCTAATGCATTCTTGGCCTGAACAGAAACCAGATCATATTATTTTGCAAGCATGAACTTACAGTTCTTGTTGATGTAACCTTACTTATTGTTTGTTACCTTAATTTCCTCCTCTAGTTGTCTTTTGAGATCTTCAACTTGTTGGGTATAGGACTGTTTTCCTCTGGTGAGTTGAGACACCAGGGAATCCTTTTCCTCCAGCATTCTTGTAAGTTCACCTAATTTTCATCAGGAAATTATTAAGGTTTTATATATTTTTCACGATATATACTTTTGAAAGGAGGTGTATACCATTTTCAGTTTGAAGCTTTGCTTTCTGCATGGTGAAGTCATTGATGGTGCGTTGTCCCTCATCTGCTTTTGTTTTGTATTCATTCAGCTGGTCCTCCAGAGACCTACACATTTTCTCCAAATTGTTCTGGAAAAACAAACATATTTTATTTAAATATTGACCCGCACAAAGATGCTAATCAAACATTAATAATAATATAAGCTTTGTTCATAAAAAGCATTTACCTTAGCCTTGACAATTTGTTCCATATTGGAGACCACATCATCGAGCTCTAATTTGAACTCACTCTTCTCCTTCTCCAGTTTCTGCTTGACCCTCTGCAGGTTGTCGATCTGCTCTCCCAGGTCAGCAACAGTGTCAGCTTGTTTCTTCCTGAGTGTAGCGGTAGTAGCTTCATGATGCAGAGTGGCCTCTTCGAGGTCTCTACGTAGTTTCTGGAGCTCTGCCTCCCTCTTCTTGTTCATCTCGATCTGTGCGGCTGTGGCTCCTCCAGCCTCCTCCAGCCTCTCACTGATCTCCTCCAGCTCTCGGGCCAAGTCTGCTCTCTGCTTCTCCACCTTGGCTCGAGCAGCTCGCTCTGCTTCGAGCTCTTCCTCCAGTTCTTCAATGCGTGCCTATCACATATTTAAATAAACACTTCATATACAGTTTATTAATCTTAATTATTTAGATGTAGTTTTTTGTCCATATATTCTCCTGTGATGTTTATGTCATGAATCTAGATGTTTGGTTTGAACCCACATGCAAGCAGAGGCAGGAGAACTCTGGAGTAAAATAATTGTTATCTTACAAATAACACAAGTGCTGACAGGGCAGCAAAAATTTATGTGAAGCAGAGCAGAAACAGAACCATGAAACCATGAAAAGGATAATACCTGGTTATCACGGGAGTGACAAGACACAGATTAAATACAGATACTAATGAGACGAAGTGGAAATACCTTGAGTTATTGGGATTCGATCTGGTGTGCATTGGAATAGAAATACTAGGAATAGAGAAACACTAGGAGATGCAAAAAGACAGGACAGGCTGACACATCTTATACCCTCCACTCCCCAGTGATGGCACACGGCATCCTCAAAGGAAGACCTCACATAACTTGGGTGGGAGGGGGGAGGAAACAGGATGAAGTTCACAAGGAAGGAAACATAAGGACTAAGGATGAAAAAATAAAAGCTCGCAGGTAGGAACCTTGGAACAATAATATCAAAGGAGGAACACCCATGCCCAATATTTCAGGTGGAGACCATCCAGAGTGGGACAAGTGCCCAGGTTGACAGTCGGTAGACTATCTAGGTTGGGGCAGGCTTTCTGGCAGGCTGCCAGGAGACAGTCCTTTTTTTTTCCACGGGTGGTGTCCGCCTGGACCCTCTTTGACTTGGGCAGAGGAGAGGCGAAGATACCACCTGGGAGACCACTGGGGAGACCACGGTGGCAGGCGAAGAGGCCACTAGAAAGGCTGCGGCTGCCAGAAAACCAGTGATGAGAACCGCAGGCAGAGACAAATTCATTGAGCAGACTGCAGCTTGCAAGTCAGAGGAAGGACCTGCAGTAAACGATGAGGCCATAAGATCAACAGCAGGTGATGAGACCAGCAGATCAACAGCAGGCTATGAGACTTGTGAGTCTGTAGATGGCGTGGAAACCAGAGAGTCACTAGCTGGCATGGAAACCAGGGAGAGGTCGTCATCTCTGATGCCCACGGAGAGGCACAGAGGAAACAGGTCATTGTTTCTGATGACCACAAAGACATAGGAGTGTGGGTCGTCCTCACTGATGCCCACAGACACACTTTAGTGTGAAACTCATGACTGAACCCTGTGCAGACACAGGAAGATGGGATCGGTTACTTCGTTAACTGAGACTGGCTCGACTGCTTTATTGACTGAGGTTAGCTCGGCGGCTATGTTGGTTGAAGCTAACTCAGCTGCTTCATAAGCTGAAGAGGCAGGGCTACTTCAGTGACTGCAGGAGGTGGTGCTGCTTCAGGACGTGAGGACCTCTGGAGACATGAGGACCTCTGGAGACTTGAGGACCTCTGGAGACGTGAGGACCTCTGGAGACTCGGGACCCACTGGAGGTTTGGCTGGGCTCAGCTCCACAGCTGAATGAGACCTCTATTGCTCTCCTGGTGAGCGAGGGCTCTCCACCTCTTCCTTGTGCGTCTGAGGAGACTCGAGTGGAGAGAGCAGCTGGGGTTCAGCGGACCCGGACTAGTTCTGTCACTGGCCCTTCTAACGTCGGCGGCGAGAAGTGCGGTCTGTGGAGGAATTCTCTCCTGCAGACAAGTCAGGAGAAGGATCAGGCTGGCTGGAGACAAGCAGTAGGAGGAGGGACTTCAGCACAAGTTTCTTCATCCATACTTACTCAAACAACTCTCACATTTCCGGTGAGTTGCTCATATCATCTGACAGTGCACTCGTTAATGAAGTCCTCTGTGACCACCATCTTCTCCCAGAGATCACTGGAGGAGGCCACACTGTCGATATAAGTGTGGGTTACCTTGCGGAGCCGCTGATGGTTTTCAGAGGTGGGCTCCATGAGGAACCTACAGCCTGCTGGGTTTTGTTTTGATCCGGGCATTCTGTCATGATCTGTCATTTATGGTTTGAACCCTCATGCAGGCAGAGGCAGGAGAACTCAGGAGTAAAATAATAATTGTTTTGTTTTACAAATAACAAAATAAAGTGCTGACGGGGCAGCAAATATTTACGTGAAGGAAGATGAAGCAGAGCAGAAACAGAACTATTAAACTGTAAAACGGATAATACCCGGATATCAGGTGCGTGACAACACAGACTAAATACAGATACTAATGAGATTAAGTGGAAACACCTTGATTGATTGGGATTTGGGTCAGGTGTGTATAGGAGCAGAAACACAAGGAATAGAGAAACACTAGGAGATACAGAAAGACCAAACAGGCAGACATGTCTCAGTTTTACCTGCAGCTCCTTGAGTTTTTTCTGGAGTTGAGCACTTATAGTTTGTTCATCCTCTATTTTGCCATTGAGTTGACTGATTTCAAAGTCTTTCCTGTGGATGATAATACATGGAATTAAATGTAATAAATCCAAAATCAATAAAACGAAACTTGTGGTCAAATGATTGTTTTTACTCTTGACAAATATTACTTTTTCAGCCTCTCTTCGAGTTGCTGTTTGTCATTTTCCAGGTCCATGACACTTTCTTGAGCCAGTTTTAGGTCTCCTTCAAGCTTCCGTTTTGCTCTCTCTAGGTCCATACGTATTTTCTTCTCTTGCTCCAATGAGCCTTCAAGCTGGTAAAATCAAAATCCCATTTCTAATAAGAGTATTTAGCTTTTTTTCTGGACAAATTAACTTAAAAATGGATAATTTTAAAGCATCTTACATCATCCACTTGCTGCTCCAGCTTTGCTTTGGCCTTGGTCAGAGTGTTGACTTTGTCTTCCTCACTCTGCAGGTCGTCCAGTGTTTGTTGATGAGCTTCCTGTAAGGCTTTCTTTTCCTTGGTCAGCTTGGCAATGATTTCATCCAAAGCAGCCATCTCCTCTGTCAGATTTTTTACCTGTTAGAGAGGCAGAACAAAATTACACCTCTGATCTTGGATGAGAAATTCAACTCATACTTTGAGAAGAATCTTTGATTTTATTTTATTTACCAACCTTGTTCTCAGTAGCATGCTTTTCTTTCTCCACTTTTGCCAGAGTTAGCTCTAAGTCATCAATGTCCTTCTTTAACTCAGAACACTCATCCTCCAACTTCCTCTTTTTGCCAGTTAACTCAGCGTTCATTTCCTCCTCGTCTTCCAGACGTTCTGTAAGCTCTTTGATTTTTGCTTCTATCTGAATTTTGCTCTTTATCAACCCCTCACATCGTTCTTCAGCATCCGAAAGATTATCTTGCTCCTAGTATTAAAATAAACAAATATGCTATACAGTGTCATTTTATTTCATTTAATTTAATAATGGCAGTTTAAGTTAGAAATGGTAACATACAGTCTGGACTTGGAGCTGCAGGTCATTCTTCTCTTGAAGGAGAGAGACCATTTTTTCCTCTAGTTCTTTTCTACGAGCCTCAGATTTTGCGTAGGCTTCCTTCAGTTTGGTAAACTCTTCTTTCATGTTGGCCATTTCCTTCTCTGTCTCTGCTGATTTCAGCAGTGGTTTGATTTTAAAGTACATCTTCATCCAGGGCCAATTCTTGACTCCCATGAAGGCACGGATGTTCCACTGGATCACTAGTAGTGCATCTCTGTGTACCATCAAAGTTGTATTTTGTGAAATTAGTCTACATGAATATAATATCAATTATAGTACTGACAAAGTTCTTGAATTTCAGAATTTACCTGCGTTCAACAATCTTCTGAAATTCAACTCTCGCCAAAAGACCTCTTGAGCGAGCTTGGATGCCAGTGATGATTAGTGCTAATCGATCATCTCTCATCTCTTCGAGTTGACCCAGAAGTCCAGCCTTGAAGAACACCTTTTTATTGGTAAACACAAAATGATTTATTAGTATCTGTACATTGCCCAAATTACATTATTAATTGATAATAGAGACTCTCACCTTAGTGTGTCCTAGTTTGTACTGGTTATGGTCTATATCCAATGAACCCAACAACTTTTCAGCAGCCTTTTTGTTGTCAATGAACTGACCCTCAGGAATGGCATTTGGATTCAGAATACGATATCTTTAACAGAAGTACATGAAATGTATTGCATTGTTGTTGTTTTTGTATTTTATTATGTGATTGCTCATTAAGGACTAACCTCTGCTTGAAATCTCCATAGAGGATCCTGTTGGGGAATCCCTTCCTGCAGATCCTGATGCCTTCCAGCACACCGTTACAGCGCAGCTGGTGCATCACCAGAGGGTTCTCCATGGCCCCAGGAGTCTTGGTCTCGTTGGGGATGATGCAGCGCACAAAGTGAGGGTGGGTTGACCTCAAGTTGGTCATCAGCTTGTTCAGGTTTTCCTGGATATACAGCACAAATGACACAATATATATCATGGCTTATTATTATTATTATTATTAGTTGTTGTAGTATTGTTGTTGTTGTTCTTCTTTTTCTTATAGTTGAATATATTAAATATTTTAGCTAGATATATTTTTAAATGTATTATTTAAAATTATAAAACATACTTACCCTGTGCAGGGCAGATACAGTTTGGAAAGAAGAGCCTTTCTTTTTGGTACCACCTTTCTTTCCACCAGAATCCTGACCTAAATAGGCATGACAAAAATTTGTCATTAGAAATTGTTGTTAAGGACTCTTTAGACCCACAAACCGTGTCTAAATGATAATAGTGATGTTGTGGTAACAGTGTTTATGTTTTACACCCTATTTTTAAGAGCAAGTGTCCACATACCTGATTCAGATCCTGCATAGCCAGCGAAGAGCAAAGATAAAAGCTTAACAGTTGACTTCTGAAAAAGTCCAACAACCGTCTCATTCAGAGGATCTTTGTTCTTCACCAGCCAGTTGTTGATATTATAATCAACAGTTCCAGCATAGTGAACCAGGGAGAAATGGGCTTCTGGTTTTCCTTTAATGACTCTAGGCTTCTGGAAGTTGTTTGATTTTCCCAGGTGGTTGTCATAAAGCTTAGCTTTAAATGTGGTGTCAGTGGCTTTGGGAAACATGCACTCCTCTTCAAGGATGGACATGATACCCATGGGCTGATGACAGTTTAAACAAAAAAAGCAAATCAATATTTTAGTGAATGAAGTAATAAAATTAAAGTATTAACAATAAAATATCTTGAACAAATTACCTTTTCAATCAGGTCAATACAGGCCTGCAGATCCATCCCAAAATCAATAAATTCCCATTCAATTCCCTCTTTCTTGTACTCTTCCTGCTCCAGTACAAACATGTGGTGGTTGAAAAACTGTTGCAGTTTTTCATTGGTGAAGTTGATGCACAGCTGCTCAAACGTGTTGAACTGGAGAGTAGGCAAAGTATGATTTGTTGGGTTTGTTAGTACAAAGATGATTTTTCTATTCCTTATTAGTTTAAAACAAAGTGTTTTGGAAAGTAAAGATGTATAGAAACAGGAACAACTGATGCTCACATCAAAGATCTCAAATCCAGCAATGTCCAGCACACCAATGAAGTACTGGCGTGGCTGCTTGGTGTCCAGGGACTGATTGATCCTCACCACCATCCACAGAAACATCTTCTCATACACTGCCTTAGACAGTGCACCAACAGCATAGTACACCTTACCAAGGAAATAATTAGCAACATCGTTAAAATTTAGCTTCATACACTATAATATACTAAAGTACTCACATCATTCTGCCTGGCATTACCTGGGCAACATTTTGTCCCTTGGTGACCCATTCATTTCCTACTTTGACTCTTGGGTGACAGAGACCTTTGATGAGGTCGGCAGAGTTCAGGCCCATCAGATAAGCAACTTTGTCAGCATCTAAGTAAGAAAATATATGTACACAAAGACACAGGTACTTAATGTAATGCAGGTAAGGTCTGTGCAAAACATAAGAAAGCATTGTTGCTAGTTACCAAAAAATATAAACAGAAAATAAATACAAAGTGCAAAATTAATGAAAAAGGCATAAAGCAAAACAAGTTTTAGAATCTGAAGTAGATTCTTGCTTATAGTGTACAATTCATTCAACCTTTATTTATATAGATTAATCTCATTGAGCATCAAGGACTGATTTACAAGAGAAACCTGTAGAGAACTGGAATGAGAGTTTCAACTTTACCAGACCCTATAAATTTACTCTTTAGACTGTTTTAAAATCACCATATTTAGTCGTCAATTACTTTCTTGCTGTCGAAGTACAAATGAATATAGATGACACAGTTACATTGAGCCTTACAGTGTCCAGCTCATTTATTTAAATTTGATTCTATTGTTTCTTTTTAACAAATGCATTTTAAAAGCCAGATCTTCAACAATTTATTTAAAGGTTATAAAAAACTTACTTTCTCTGTAATTCCAGTACTGCAATATCTAAAACAAATTTTAATGTTGTTTCTACTTAAACTGGACCCACTTGTTTACTGTATCCATTGTTGTGCTTGCAATTTAACTGTAATTTAATAATAAGAGTCTCAAACTTACCTGTTCATAGTACTGTAATGGATTACATAAGGTAATTCCTAATCCTAAGCATCTACTACTAACAGTAGTAACAGCATACATGGAACATCTTCTCTTACCTTCAGTTCCATCAGCCTCTGCCTGCTCCTCTCGCTGCTTCTGCTTAAACTTCATGTTACCAAAGTGCATAATGGCACCAGTCATTTTGTAAATACTGTTCTTCTCTTCTTGAATGAAGCCCAGCACATCAAAGGCATCCTAAGTGAAATCAGTCAATGCTCCTTTCATTTTTGTTTAGCTTCAGAATATGGTTGACTGAACATCGTTTGTTAGTTTTGATTTCAAGATGTAACTCACATCAGTGGCCATCAGTTCTTCAGAGTCATTAATGGAGGCTACTGTTGTCTCTCCTTGGGAGATGAAGGCGTAGTCGTAGGGGTTGTTGGTGATGAGCAGCATCTCTAGAATTAGATAAAATATTGGTTACACAATGTCTGAGGTTTTTAATAAAAAAGTTGTTTCTTTTTTTGACTCATTCACTTACCCAGTAGTTCAGGCTTTACTTGAGACAAGATCTGGTAGAAAATGTGGTAGTCCCTCTCAGCTTTGAGCTGGTAGGTCACACGTGATTTTTCCAGAAGATCTGTTTTAGGTACAATGCAAAATATCTTAGTGTCTTTCTGTGCAAAATAATCTTTTGTTGGTTTGTGATCACATTTGATGTGACTAGACAAATCAAACATATTTAAACAGGTTCTCCACAGCAACATTTGGCACAAATGAGTCTAATCAATTTAGCAGTTTCTTGTAAGGCCTCACATTTTGTAATTAGTCCAAAAAAGTTCAGTCTGGTCCTCTGGACATTCAAAAAAAACCAAAACAAAGCAAAAAAATATAGAAACGTTTCGTCTCTCATCCAAGAGACTTCCTCAGTCTGAGGAGCTGTATTCAGCTCAGTCTCTTAAATAGCACCTTCTCAGAGTGGATCAACCAGTTTTGCTGCTGACAACCAAAACCAGCTGATCACATGCTCAAGAAGGACCATCAGCCTAACAATGGATCATTAGCACACTGATGGCTGTTTACTATTCACAGGAGGCTGAGTGATACTAGCAATCACAGCATTGTAAGAGGGGGACAGTTGAACCCGGAGGCCTCCACCCCTGTTTAACGATGGACGATTTCTTTTCACAAAGATGGCCTCCTTTACTCCTCTCTCAAACCATCGTTCCTCTCTGTCCAGGATGTGAACATTTTCATCCCTGAAAGAGTGACCGCTGGCCTGGAGATGAGTGTAGACCGCAGAGTCCTGGCCTGATGATGTTGATCTTCTGTGCTGGGCCATCCTTTTGGCCAGTGGCTGTTTAGTTTCCCCGATGTAAGACTGATCACCCTCCTGACACTGAACAGCATACACAACATTACTCTGTTTGTGCCGGGGGACTGGATCTTTGGGATGAACCAGTCTTTGCCGTAATGTATTTTGGGGTTTAAAAGCCACTGGGACGTTATGTTTAGAAAATAAACGTCTCAGTTTCTCTGATACTCCCTCAACATACGGAATGACCACTGGTCTGGGTCTGGGTTCCTCCTTTTCACCTGATGGCTGACTGGAGTCCTGTTTGGGTTTCTTCTCTGCTTTCAGGAAGGCCCAGTTAGGATATCCACATTGCTCTAGAGCCTGTTTTGTGTAGGATTTCTCCTTCTGCCTGGCTCCTGAGTTAGTGGGGACGCTGTCTGCTCTGTGATACAGAGTCCTGATGACTCCTAACTTGTGCTCCAAAGGGTGATGGGAGTCAAACTGCAAATACTGGTCTGTGTGGGTGGGTTTTTTGTACACCTCGGTTTGCAAATGTCCTCTATCAGAGACTGAGACCTCACAGTCCAAGAAAGCCAACTTGCCATTTTTTTCATCTTCTCGTGTGAACTTGATGTATTTATCCACAGAGTTGATTTGGTCAGTAAAATGTTGGACTTCCTGAGATTTAATTTTAACCCAGGTGTCGTCAACATACCTGAACCAATGACTTGGTGGTGTCCCTGAAAAGGACGTCAAGGCTCTCTTTTCTACCTCCTCCATGTACAGGTTGGCAACAATAGGAGAAACTGGAGACCCCCTGTGGTTTGGCATTGCTGAGGCAGGATGAAACTTTGATTCTGAGCTGTTCTGCTTCACCCTCTTTCATTTTGTTGTTGCGGATGGCTGATTCTGTGGCTGTGATCATCTCCACCAGAGGAATTCTACTTGGTGCAGCCGCAAAGGCAGAAACATGGGTGTGCTATGGGGTCTCCAGTTTCAACCGTAAATTTTGGAGCTTTGACAAGACGGATGTTTTTTCCCCGAGGTCGGCCTGTTAGCTTAGATCGTAGCTTAGCTTCTCAGCTTAGCTGCTTTTAACGATCCAAAACTGCGATTTTGGATGGTTAAAACTGGTTTTAAAGAGAAAAGAGAAAGGGAGGGGTCAGTGAAGAGCAATGGAGTTGAGCCTTTTGTCATCCAGTGTCTTCAGTAGAAAGAGAGACACGAAGAAACGATAAAGCTGATAAATGTAAATGAGCTTGATAATTTTCATTTATCATGCGGTTAATTGATTTATTGGTTATTGCGACAGGCCTAGTCACACAATGAACAGGAATGCTGACTGGTGATGAATCTTGCTTCTTAAACTGTGGAGAGAGCTCTCTACCAAACACAGCACAAAATAGAACTTACTCAGATGTTGCATGTAGTTTTACTTACAAGTCTCGATGTCAGCAGAGGCCAGCTTTCCTCTGTTGTCAAAGTGAATTCGGATGAATTTACCCTAAAAATAGATGAATTAACATTTGTTTTCATTAACGGAAAAAAATATCATTTTTCATTGTTTTGTTGATAATAAAGAAACTTTTTTTGCAGGTCCACAGTTACTCACAAATCTGGAGGAGTTGTCATTCCTGATGGTCTTGGCATTACCAAAGGCCTCCAGAGCAGGGTTAGCCTGAATGATTTGATCCTCCAGGGTGCCCTGATGTTAAACAAAGACACAATGTCTGACATGCTTACAAGTTTAAAGAAGCTTAAAGAATAAAGTAATTCTGGATTTACAATATAATACAATGTATTTGTTCTGTGATTGTATGAAACAAAGGTACAGCAAACCTTCTTCTCAGCAGCAGCATCTTTCTTCCCTCCACTGGGGACAGCAGCAATGCTGGCAAAGTACTGAATGACACGCTTGGTGTTGACAGTCTTTCCAGCTCCAGATTCTCCGCTGAGTAGAAGATACACAGAAGGTTTTAGGCTACGATCAATGATTTATGACTGCTGAAAAGGGATTTGCTAACAGTAACTTACGTGATAAGGATTGACTGGTTTTCCCTGTCTGTCATCAAGAATATATAATAAACAAAAGACAAATTACAGCATCATCAAAAATAATTTGAAGATGAAGATCTAAAGTGATTTATGTACCTGCCAGCATGTACTGGTAGGCATTATCAGAGATGGAGAAGATGTGAGGAGGAGCTTCACTCCTCTTCTTTCCTCTGTAGGCAACAACCACCTCTTGGTTGTAGACTGGCAGCCACTTGTAGGGGTTGACAGTCACACAGAACAGCCCGGAGTAGGTCTGCCATGTCAAGAGAGGATAATGATTTCAGAAGCTAAGGTAGTTCACTAATAATGAAAAGTAAACTGGCTCTCTAACTCACGTAGATCATCCATGCTGCGTAGCGCTCTTTGAGGTTAAACAGCACAGCTGGCTCATGGAGGAATGTGAACATCGCCATGTCTTCAATTTTATCAAACTTGGGTGGGTTCTGAGGGTGTACATCACACTCCTTCACAGTGACGGTCTGGAAAAAGAGTGATACATCTCACACAGAATGTCAAGAGTTTTCAAATTCAGTGAAACGGAACTGCTAAGTGATAATATACCTTTCCAAATTCAGTCTCAGCAGTGACTTTGTCACCATCACGACTGGTTACAGATGCTTTCACGTACTCAACTTCAGGGTCAGGCACAAAACATTCTTTCTTCATGTCAAATGGACGAGTCTGGGCCTCCAGGCGCTCCTTGTCTGATTTCCTTAAAAAAGGAGCAGCAGGTCCAAACTCTGCCATGACAGCATCTCCCATGATTCAACCTTTGGAAAAGAAAACATTATTATCAACTATGATTTTTTTATTTAATTTTTGCACACATGCAAAACCCAAATGAAAATGGACATATATTTTAAACCTCTATAATAAGCAAATAAGTATCTTGTTTTAAAATCAAAATATTTGAGTTTATTTATAACATATATTGTCTGTGTATACTGCAAACAAAACAACCGTAACTTTATCTGTTTTAATTTAGTTAAAGTAAAAATTTAGCATAAATCATTGTGACTCTAAAGTTTCATCTACTGTCATGCACATGTCAATAGAAACATAAAAATGTGCTTATTGTTAAAAAATTGAGCTGTGTTGTCGTCTAAAAGTGTTGTTGTGTGTTTACCTGAGTTGTTTTCAATCCAAATCTGAATCCTTGCTGTTTAGATTAAAATATAAAAGCAAAGCACAAGACAGATTATATTACAATTTGTTTAAGAAGCACTAAGTAAAAAGCCATATAAAACAACTGGAGTGACCTTCTACTAATGGTGGGTCACAAAAGACATTATTTTTAGAACTTGCGTTCTCACCCATTTCTTACCTTTTACACCCAACCTTGTGAAGTGAAGTGATGGATCCAGTGGCTAACACCAGGCTTCCTCTCCTTTAATAAAGACTGTAAGTCGCCCAAATATGGGTATGAATATCAGAGAAATGGCATCCAGTTTGTTCGTCACAAAATGCATTCTCCAAATTGGGCCAAGCCCAGTGCTTCTATTTGTTGCTCTCACCTTGAACAAAAGACTAATACACCAGTGTGAACATGACAAAGAAAGGGGATGGCTGTAGGTGTGTGTGTGTGTGTGTGTTGGTTGGGGGGGGGGGGGTCAGGGGCAGTCTGCTGTCTATCATATCAGTCTCATCGCTCCCGGTGACTTTTAGATAATGATAATCTAATGGTAATGAATCTTTTTAGAGTTGTTACTAAAACTGAATTAATGTCATCTTGCAATTGTATTAAAGCTTCTATGTATAGTAGTTTAACTCCTTAATTGACTAAACTTTAAAGTATATTTCTTTAAGGTAATGACCATTCATTTTCAAAAAATACACTTGTCTTAATACTTAATTTTTATTGTAAGAAAGTGAACTTTGCACTCAAACTAAATAAAGCAGCTCACCACAGCTTAAACAAATGACCTCAGGCATTTCAAGATCCAAGGTTCAACATTAGCCCATCCAGTGAATACAAATCAAGAGGAAGAATAAAGAGCTGCAGCTGTTGTATGCAAAGAGACAAGACACGGCCAAGGTCGCAGTAGTGGAACCCTTTTATTATCACTCACCACTGCTCAGAGTTAGGTCTCCACCTTTAATCCAGCCCTTTGCACTTTCAATGTCTACTGCAGCTAAAGAAAAGGAAACAACGCAACGACAGTGGTGTCGAACTCGAGTTCGTATTAAAGTAGACAGTGCCTAATATAAAGAGCCACAGCATGGAACTGAGGTAACACTTTCTCTAAAGTATTTATTCAAAGGTCAAACTTTCATACTCAGAAATATTGATAATGGAACAATATTATTTCTTTTGTCTCCAGGTTTTTGTTAAAGGGATCTGACATTTTGAGGTCTTTCTTTTACATATAAATAAAACAAAGTGCATATAACAACTAAAATCTAATTAAACTATTATTAATAGTGATACTTTATGTATTTTGAATCTTATATTGAAGCATAATCTTCTAATAAGCAATAACAAAAAGCCTTAATTCCCCTCAGCAGTCAAGAAACAATGGGGGGGGGGGGGGTATTTTTTTTTATTTGGCTGTTCTTTTTATATTTATAAAATAAATGTTTCTCAAAAACTACTTTGAAATGTATTTGTTTCTAAAAGGCTTTTATTGCTGTGAGTTTATGAATTATCAACACAGACAGACTGTCAGTTCTTGCTACAACTGAGTTTTATGTATGTAAATTATGTGTACAGTAAAATTATGACAGTAGACTGTTTCTGATTTTTTTAAATGTTTGTGGATATGTTTGCTAAAATATTGCCTTTTTTTTAATCATTTTTGAACTGAAAGTTGCTAAATGGGTAAAATAATTGGGGACTTAAAATTGAAGATCATAAATGTGTGCAAGCTAAGTTTTTCCTGCACTTATATTTAAGACATGTGTTTGTAACAGTTACCGTAAAAAAAAAATTTATTTGCAACCTGTACTTCCTAACACGTATAATGTATAATTACACCAGATTTTTTTCTGTTGGCGTGGAATAAAATGTATGTTTTAAACTGAAATCTACAAAACTGAGGGTATTGACAAATATTTAAATAGTTGTGACCTATCCTCCAGGCCTCTGTCAGAAGTGACATGCAGCGAGTGCCCTTGGTCTGCTCCTGTTGACATGGCATTGTTTCTTCTCTTTATTCTTGAGCACAAAGATAACTTGTGAAATTCCTGCTGGCTGCCTTTGAGGGCTTGGTGGTTCAGAGGATAGCTTGGGGACAGCTTGTGGCATAGGTTGTCAGGACAGTTTTTTTCTTATTTGACCAGCAGCAACAGGTGATAAACCCATGAGAAAACAAAGGTATACTACAATATATGCACTAATGTTGGAGGATGTGCATTATTTTGAATTAAACTCAGATCTAGGAAACTTACGCAGTTCATACATGAACATGAAAGCATGAGAATAAAGGAAATAAGTGTGAAAGTACTTTTAATTTGTGGAGGAGTTTAAACAAGACAGTTTTCTTGGTCTGGCTAGATTTAAACCAAGCTATAGTAAGACTTTCAAAAACTATACCTCGAATTTCTATTAAAACCTCTGTCGTCACCATTTGCATCACATCTTATTCCATGAGGCCCTGTCCCTGCTTGCCTTTCAACTTGTTTTTTATCCACTTTACTTATCCCTTTGTCTATTCCAGGCTCCAGAAGAGAACACTTGTTGGACCATTGAAGGTCTCATTCTCAGCTGTCCACAGTCTTTGTGTCTTTGACTTTTACAGTCACATGAGTTCCCAAGGGAAGGTGTGAGGCACCTTGCTCCACTTAAGTTGAGAAATCGGAGCCAGCAGAGCTATTGGTAGAATTTGTTATTTATTGTTGTGAAAGGTCACTTCTAAGGGGAGCTGATGGTTCACACTGTTGTCTTTGCTTCAGTCATTTAGACTCTGGACCTACTTGCATGGACTCAACCAGAACACGCCTTGTCCTCTCTGGAAAGGGCCAAAACATCATGAAATTATACGAAGGTACTGTTTATTTAAATGTAATTTCTTAAATTGTAATTCAAAACTCTATTTTTGATTGGAAAAATGATTTTGCAAGAACTGATGAGGTCCCTCCTGGTGGACATGGTGGCGCCACAAGTCCAGATTACCTGCTGTCAGACTCCCTCTGCTGTCAGGTCTGCTTGTGCTGTGAGTCAGTGGGTCTTTTCTTATCTGACTACAAAGATGCTCCGTGCATAAGCGTAGTAGTTAGGATATTTTTCAAGCTGATATTTATACATTTATATCTGCAATTTTATCTGAAATCATTTTTAGCAAACTCAAACAACTAACAAGAATATATGTTATCAAGTCCTCATTGATGGAGGCTTTTAGTTTCATTTACAGAAGTAATGCAACACATAGGTGCATACAACTGAAATGTTACTTTCCTCTTTTTGTGTATGTGTATATATATTTCTGCAGATATACAAGTGTTACTAAGTTTATAATGCTACAGGTTTAAATGTTAAATACCTGGTTTTAATGAAAAGTTTGTTCATTAAAGGCTTGTAGGGAAAGCTGCCTAAACTAGACGAGTTCATGAACAAATAATAACTAGATTATGTTTAAATGTGTGAGCAGGGTTATAACCACATTCAACTGAAACACCTGCATGTTGATTTTCCTCAGTTTCAAGACCATTCACATTTTCTTAAATGAACATTATTCAGGGTTTTTTTCAGTAAAGACATTTGTATCTTGCTGTGGAAGTCACATTGTTCTATGAAAACCATCTTAGTATTTTTATTGTATTAATTTATTTATGTTTAATGAACTATTTACAGTTTTGTTTAAACTTTGAACATTTCTGGAAATAAAAAAAGACTGAAAAAGGCTCAGTATTGACCTTAGATGTGCAGGTGTTATAATTTTCTCTGTGTTGGTCCTGTGCTGTCCCATAACACCAAATTAGACAGCGTGGGTGAAACATAAATGGATGCATAAAGGTTTAATTGTAGTAAAAGTCAGTCACACACTAAAACAATAACGTTATGTGGCAAAAACAATAGAATTGTTGTTTAGCCTTTTAACTAAGGGTTATTTTTTACAGCTCTGGTCCCATTTCATCCAAATTAAAGATAAATTCAATTCAACTCAGTTTATTTATACAGCACCAAATCACAACAGAAGTCATCTCAGGGCCCTGAACAGAAACATTCATATATAAAAATAAGTGCATATGATTTATCTGAGGAGCAGACTGCTTTGAATTTAGTTCCATCACAGACTCTCATCACATAAAATGTTCACAGATTTTACTGTTTTGTTTAGCCAGCTATCGTTTACCATTGAAAATAATAAGCTCAAATGATTTTGTCTTTATTCACACAATTATAGTTAAAATTTGTCATATCTTTTGCAAATAGTTACCCTCTTGGAACAAACCTAGGACAATGAGGTAAACCTTAATATGTAAGCAAAATATTAGATGTGTTTAAAAATAAGATGTGCAATTTCAGTTATTATATTATTTTAATATTGTCCTGGTGTGATATTGCTACAAAGTATTTAGTATGTCATTTATTTCATGAGTTTAATTTTCTTTTTTTATTTTGGGCAGTTGTGGCTGAGTGGTTAGAGCAGTCATCCTCCATTGCAAGAGTTGGGGGTTTGAATCCACCAGCAGTCACATGCCAATGTGTCCCTGGGCAAAAGACTGAACCCCTCATTGCCTCAGATGTGTGTCCCATCACTGTATGAATGTGATAAAGCTCTGATTATTCTTTGTAGAGATCTAGTAGAGTGCTGTATGAATGGATGAATGAGGACACAGATTGTTGTGTAAAGAGCTTTGAGTATCTTGATAAGATAGAAAAGCTCTATATAAGTACAGTCCATTTACCAGCTCTTTTTTGTTTTGCTTTAGTTTAGATAAATTATGCGAACCAATAAACTTTTACCAACAAAAAACTCAAGAAGCTGTTTCAGATGCACAATGAGTTTATTCTACTGATCACAAAGCATGCTTAGGGAGGCACCACTACGAAGAGAACGGGTGTCTCAGACAGAGAAGGTTTTGAAGAAGCTTTATTCTTCATCAAGTCCTTTCTGTAAGAAAAGAAAGAAAACTCAGAATAATTCAGTTTCAGTTCAATTCTGTTTATTTATATAGTGCCAAGTCACAACAGAGGTCATCTCGGGGCACTGTATAAGAATAAATACCAAGCTTGTAGAGAACAAGCATCTGAAATGCTGTGGAAAGAACTAATGTTTATTAGACTCTGATGTCATCAGAAGGTTGGCAGTAATGTTCACATTTTACATTTGGAGTAATATTCCAAAAACCTTAACCTAAAATATGGTTCATGGCTCCACTGCAGTCTGAGAGAGACACCTAGCGGGAGTTGTATGGAAAATATTTTTATGAATCAAATTTATTGGAAAAATGGTTGTTAATAATATATCACAATAATCATCACTATTGGTCCATGGATCATTTTTGCTTCATCAGCAATGCTTTTATTGCTACAGTTATTTTGTGGATTTGAAGCTGAATCTTTGTGAACCTCTGTTTTACACTGACACGTTTGTCTTTTATTTGTTCAGGGGTGCACATACGAACCTTGGCCCCAACATCACGATTTTTAGCACGTAGCTTGTTGACCTGAGACTCTGCGATGTCAGCTCTCTCTTCAGCTTCATCGAGCTCGTGTTGAATCTTGCGGAACTTGGTGAGATTATTGTTGGCCTGCTCCTCCTGAAATACGAATAAAAATCTAGTAAAGATTTGACATCAGAGAAAAGCATCATCCACTAAATCTCAAGTATTCCATTAACAGCTCTTTGGGAATCACCTTGTTAATGTTAAAATATTATATGTTAGCTTTGCTTGTCACCATTAAATGTGGGCAGTCATGTAAAAACCTTTGTGATTGTGTTGTATGACTGTTACCAAATACATCAGGAACCACTGGACAGATTTTAATGAAATCTGCAAAAAAGTAAACATTTTATGTAAATCTACCATTTATTAACTTTCAGAGTCAACCCAATTTAAGATGAATGACAACTTATTGATCTTAGTTAACACAAAGAAGGTTGTCACCCAATCATTTTTTAGTCATTCTAGTCATTTTAGGGGGAGTGGTGGTGCAGAGGTTAGAGAAGATGGACCTGTGATCAGAAAGTCGCAGGTTCAACTCCCAGTGCCGTCAACATCAAAATGTGGGTGGAGAAGGTTTAAACACCCACGCCTGTCTCCACCCTCATTTGCCCCACTCTGGGTCCCTGAATAGGCCCTTAATCCCCACATCTGTTCCCAAAAACAGGTCTCTCTTGAAAATGAGTTCTCGTGACTCATTGAGGCTACCTGTATAAATAAAGGGTAAATAAGTAAAAAATACAGATATTGATCTAAGCTTTGTCATGGTAGTAGCTGAGGGTATCCCTAACACATACTCTGAGTGCTAACAGATCTAGACTTTAATACCATAATAATGTAGCTATGGTCCAACAGTCTTTGCAATGGCAAGGACAATATCGTTCCTTCAAGAAATGGTCCTTTAATGTTTCAAACTGTTGAGGGTGGTTCACAAGTTTCAACATTCCTTACAAGCCTACTAACCATAGCTGGGGTGGGTGGTAGGGGGGGTGTCAGGGACAGGTGTACACTTTTCAAAATGAGAAAAGTGTTGAACGGCTTTTGATATGCCCTGTATAACCAACACGTTGCCGTTCTGCTGCATGGCACATGCACTGTATACACAACGCAGGACAACAGGCAAATTTGGTTATGCACAGTTAACAGGCTTCATCTTCATTCAGTGAAAACACACACAGGAGCTGTGCATTGCTGGTACCAGTTCAAGTCCTCACCACACTGGAGGTCCTTGCAACCAGAGCCTTTTAAGAGTAAGCTGATGTGTAGCGACTCGTTTTTTGACACCAGCTGTTTAATAAATACGCCTTTGAATTCTCCAAGCCCCTGTGTGGCACTGTGTTTACAGTAATTATGTTTTTAAACACATGCATAAAGTCACATGCAAAATGTCTCCAAAAAGAGTTTGTTTTGTACACTTGTGAAAATGTAGAAAATTGTGGACCACCCCTTATTGTCTTTTTTCATGGAAACAAATAATGTTTTGTTACAGGCTGCCTGAGAATAACATGAAAATGATCAGATCCTCAACTGAAAATAAAAAAGGACCAAAAAATTGAAACTTCAAATACACAAAGAAATTTTTAAAGCAAAGTCTGGCTCCTTGGAAACAAAATACAAACTAATGATGGTGGTCTTTTGCTCAGTGCTGAGTGGTTTAAAATGAAATCTGCTTACAGCCTCCTCTGCAGATTTCTTATACGTTTTGACTTTAAGCTGAAGCTTGTCCACTAAATCTTGAAGGCGTGCTAGATTCTTGCGGTCTTCTTCAGTCTACATCGAAAAAGATAAAGAAAGCAGAACAAGAAGGAAGACAAAATGTACAGTATTTATGTTAAATTTTTTATACTTTTAATTATCAAAGCATAAAACTATTTGAGATCTAAGCAGATTTTTACCTGATAGGTAAGTTCCTTGATACGTCTTTCATACTTTCTTACTCCTTTTATTGCATCACTGGCTTTTTTCTGTTCACTTTCCACTTCATTCTCGAGCTCCCTGACCTGCAAGGTGCCATAGAAAATTGAATGTTAAACTAATTCAGGTTCAGCTAATACAGTACTTATTTTGGCTTTTCAATGGACAAACGGCTCATATTTACCCTGGCCTCGAGCTTCTGCACCTGCTTCTTGCCTCCCTTCATGGCGATCTGCTCAGCTTCATCCAGACGGTGCTGCAGGTCTTTGATGGTTTGCTCCATGTTCTTCTTCATACGCTCCAGGTGAGCGCTGGTGTCCTGCTCTTTCTTCAGCTCCTCTGCCATCATGGCAGCATCAGTGATGGCCTTCTTGGCCTTCTCTTCAGCATTTCTGCACTCCTGCACTGCCTCCTCCACCTCAGTTTGAAGCTGGACTGCATCTGCCTCCAGTTTCTTCTTATGGTTTATCAGGCTGGTGTTCTGTTTTTATAAAATCAATTTTGCACAATTATCAGTATAAAAGTAGCAGGAAGAAATTAGCTTAAGCATAAGATGTAGGCAATGATCGTATTCTACCTGTGAGTGCAGCAGCTGCACCCTCTCGCTAACATCCAGCAGCTCTTGCTCAGCAAGTTTACGGCTTCGTTCAGTTTGCTCTAATGCACCTCTGAGTTCCTCTACCTCAGCCTGAAGCAGGTTGTTGCGTCTCTCAATAATAGCATTGTTTTCCTTCATATCATCATTGGCTCGCAGAGCTTCATCAAGCTGGAGCTGAGCATCCTTAAAAGTAAACAGAAACATGGGGTTTCTTTGTTAGTTACATACAGTATTTATCAAAACACAT